ATATCCTTCTGCAACCAATGCCATCAGTATGTTTTGCAACAATAAGGTTGCAAAGGTCTTGAGAGAGCTCTTTCCTTTTACCCATCTTGAACTGTTTCTTGTGTGACACCTTGGTAATGAGACACCTTTTTATAGACCATGATTTGAGACTAAACCAGCTGATATTAATTTGCACTGACAAGGGGCAGGATTGGTTTCTAATTACTGATTTAAGCTGGTGTCTTGGCTTTCCATGCATCCCTTTATTCATGTGTTCAATACTTTTTCCCTGTGTTATTCCATTTTATTACATATATCTTAATTTCTCAATACAGTAATACCTCGGTTTAGAATTTAATTAGTTCTGCAGGACTTTTTGTATAGCGAAAAATTTGTAAATCGAAACGCCGTTTCCCATAGGAAAGCATTGAAAACCAATTAATCTGTTCCAGAGGTCAGAAAAAAGTAAACACTACTAAAATAGCGCATGAGTTATTTTATCATGTCATGCAGTATTTTGGTATTGACAACCATGTGTTAATGTTTCAGCTGTCAGCGGGGGTTTCCCACTGACAGCTCAATGTAAAAGAATTGCCGGCAATTAAAAAAAATAATTTATAAAACGGCGTGGGGTCCCCCTTCCTGAGTTAAGAGAAACAATGTTTCCTTTTAGTTTCTTAAAAGAAACAAAGTTTCCGTTAACTCCAGAGAAAGTGACAGCTAATTCTGAGAGCTATATTGAAGAAAAAAAAAAGCCGCCAATTGCATTTAAAAATCAGCACTTCGTATTGTGAAAAAAAATTCATAAACCGAGGCATTATTTTCAATGGATTTTCATTTGTAAACCGAAAAATACGTTAACCGAGGCGTTTGTAAACCAAGGTATTACTGTATTTGTTTAGATTATGTAGATTGTTAGCAACATGTGGTGAAAAATTTCATGTCAATAGCACCGTTAGAAATACATTTACCGATTTTAAAAATGGTGACGTGGTCAATACTTATTTTACCTGCTATGTGTGTGTAATATATATATAATTTACTCAGCGACACACACACACGTAAGGTTAACAATATAACTTGGATTATAAAATCTTCAGTTTTACTCAAATTCGTTGATGTACAAATGAATACACCCCACAACAAAAACTACTACATCTAGTATTTTGTATGACCTCCATGATTTGTAAAGGCAGCACCAAGTCTTCCACGCATGGAATGAACAAGTTGGCGACATATTGCAACATCTATCTTTTTCCATTCTTCAAGAACGACTTCTTTTAGAGCCTGGATGCTGGATGGAGAGTGATGCTTAACTTGTTTCCTTAGCATTCCCCATAAGTGTTCGATTGGGTTCAGATCAGGAGACTTGCAGTACTTGGCAACCTTATCACTTTCACCCTGTTCTTCAGAAATGCAACAGTGGCCTTAGAAGTGTGTTTTGGATCGTTGTCATGTTGGAAAAGTGCACGACAACCAAGGGCACAGAGTGATGGTAGCATCTTCTCTTTCAATATAGAGCAGTACAACTGTGAATTCATGATACCATCAATGAAATGCAGCTCCCAGACACCACCAGCACTCATGCAGCCCCACAGAAGGACCCTGCCACCACCATGTTTCAGTACAGAGTCCCAGTAGTCCTCTTCTTTTTCAGCATGGGCCCTGGAAACTTCTAGGAGGGCTTTTTTGTCCATGAGCTTCAGGAGAGGCTTCCTTTTGTTGATGACACCCATGCATGTCATTCCTGTGCAGTGTATGCCGTATTGTGTCACGGGGAAACAATCACCCCAGTTTGGCTTTCTACTTTAGTTAACTGCAATGAACGTGCGTGGCGATTTTTCTTCAACTCTTATCAGAAGATGCTCCTGTCGAGCTGTTAACTTTCGTGGACAGCTTGGACGTCTCTGTTGCAGTTCCAGCTTTGTTACATTTTTGTATCACTTTTGCTACAGTATTCTGACTGACAAGTAAAGCTTTGCTGATCTTATAGCCTTCACCTTTCTTGTGTAAAGAAATTATTTTCTTTCTCAGGCCTTGTGACATTTTCTTCCATGTGGTGCCATTGCTGACCGCATGAAATGGGAAGGGGTTTTCTTTGCTAAGTAATGCCGTTTTATAATCAACCATCTGCTGGACACCTGTTTAATGAATAATTAGACTTACCTGTAGTTGAATTTTTGTTAATTAGGATAAAATTTAGCTTTACTTATGAGACTTTCATTGGGGTGTATTCATTTTTTTTGCAACATGGTCTTGAATTAATTTGTTAGGAAAAATACTTTTTTTTTTCATGTGCAAATAAACAAATCTTGTTTACAATCAATGGCCTGCATTTGTGAGTATTTTGTAGTATAGTGTCCTATAGAAAATGTTGATTCTGAAAGGAAAGTAAAGGTTTTCTGACAAATCTGTTGGGGTGTACTCATTTAGACTGAGCTATATTGCAAAAGTGTTAGGACACCCTCCGAATCATTAGATTTAGGTGTTCCAATCACCTCCATAGCCACAGGTGTATAAAATCAAGCACCTAGTCATGCAGAGTGCTTCTACAAACTTTTTGGGTTGCTCTCAGGAGCCCATTTAATTCAAGCGTGGTACTGTGATAGCATGCCACCTGTGTAAGTTCATCCGTGAAATTTCCTTGCTACTATATATTCCTTGGTCAACTGTTGTGGTATTATAACAAAGTGGAAGCAACTGGGAACAACAGCAACTCAGCCACGAAGTGCTAGACCACGTAAAATGACAGAGCGAGGTCAGCACATGCTGAAGCACACAGTGTGCAGAAGTCACCAACAGTCTGCAAAGTCAGTAGCTAAAGACTTCCAAAGTTTGTTGGGCCTTCAGATTAGCACATCTACAGTGCATAGAGAGCTTCTTGGAATGGCTTTCCATGGCCGAGCAGCTGTATCCAAGCCTTACATCACCAAGTGCAAATGCAAAGCGTCGGATGCAGTGGTGTAAAGCACACCACTACTGGACTCTAGAGCAGTCGAGACATGTTCTCTGGAGTGACGAATCACGCTTCTATGTCTGGCAATCCGTTGGACATGTTTGGTGGTTACCAGGAGAATGGTACTTGCCTGACTGAATTGTGCCAATGGTAAAGTTTGGTGGAGGGGGATTATGGTGTGGTGTTGTTCTTCAGGGGTTGGGCTTGGCCCCTTAGTTCCAGTGAAGGGAACTCTAAAGGTGTCAGCATACCAAGACATTTTGAGCAATTTCATGCTCCCACCTTTTGTGGTAAAAGTTTGGGGATGGCCCTTCCTGTTCCAACATGACTGTGCACTAGTGCACAAAGCAAAGTCCATAAAAACATGGATGAGCGAGTTTGGGGTGGAGGAACTGCACAGAGTCCTGACCTCAACCCGAAAGAACATCTTTGGGATGAACTAGAGCAGAAACTGCAGGCCAGGCCTTCTTGTCCGACATCAGTGCCTGACCTTACAAATGTGCTTCTGGAAGAATAGTCAAACCTTTACCATAGACACACTCCTAAAAGTTGTGGACAGCCTTCCTGAAGAGTTGAAGCTGTAGCTGCAGCCATGATCCTGGTATTAACGTTTGCAGCTGGCAATGGGCTTTCCTGTAGCAATATAATTATACCTAAAAAATCACGCTGAGAGAGGATTTAGTCATTTCCAGTTTCAGTTTTTAGTTTTCAAGTTGTTACTGGCTTGTAAAGCCTCTGATCAAAACGATCTTTGTTTAGATGCCTTTAGGGGCCGAGAAGAGACTGGGGTCTAATAGACCCCAGATCTCTCAGTAAAGAGTAGTCCCTGATCATCTGCTTGATCTAAAAAAACTGGAAGTATTTTGTCATTTCGATTTCACCGGATGTAAACAAGCCATTACTGGCTTTGGAAAGCATAGGATCAAACTGATCTTGGTTTGATCCAATGCTTTTAAGGGGAGAGGAGAGATCCTGGGTCTAATACACCCCAGATCTCTCAGTAAAGATTACCTGTCACTGCCCAGGCTATCACAAGGGATATTGTTCATCCCTTGTGATAGCAATAAAGTTGATTGAAAAAAAAATTAAGGCAACAGTGTAAAAAACAAATGTAAATATAAAATACAGAAATTTTACTAAATGTCGAAAGATCACCCATCCCCCTGTGCTCTCGCGCAAATGTGAAAGCACGCATATGGAAACTAATCACACCACACATATGAGGTATCGACATGAGTAATAGCAATAATTCTAGCACCAGACCTCCTATTTTAACTCTAAACTAGTGACCTGTGAAAGGTATAAAAGTTTTGCTTATGGAGATTTTTAGGTACTGTAGTTTGTCACAATTCCATGGGCTTGTACAATTTTAAAGTGTGACATTTACTTGGCTTAAAAGCTTCAAACTGGGTATTCTATTTATGTGCACTAACATTCATTAAAGTGTTTTTTTTTCCTAAAACATTGTGTTTGATGAATGACTGTGCAAATATTGTGCGCCATAAAAAGTTGCAACAAACCACCATTTTATTCTACAGGTCCTTTCCTTTCAGAAAATATATATACTGTTTGAAGATTCTTATCAATTTTTAAGCAAAAAAAAATGCAGATTTCTGTGTGCATGTCAGAATTGGCCCAGAGGGCAAATGGTTGAAACAAAAAAATGGCCAGATGGCCTGATAATCTAAAACAGTGAAAAGAGTTGTTTCCTGCAGCTGAATGTCACTGTTAGTGGTCAATGTGTTTTGAGGTAGTTGACCAACTGCTCAGTATTTTATTGCAATACTTACATTCTATACGCATGTAATGGCGTGTATTCTTTAAAACAAAAAGGTTATGTTAAATGGACAATCAAACAATATCTTTTGCTTTTATTTTTGTGTGCACTAAACTGATAAAATTGACCTATAGTTCTGTAGGTTATTGTAAATCATTATCCATTTTACCTGGTTCATTCAAAACAAACCTAGCCTAATATTTGTCACATGTATGTGCATACTGTATATCTAGCCTTCTCATCGGATTAACATTTTAATTTGTTTTTTTATTTTACTTAACTTTCAAGTTCTTGTTGGTGCCAAGGAAAACCAAGTAGAAAGTGCAGATGAAGTTATGAGTCTTCTAGAAGCTGGAAGTGCAGCACGGCACACTAGTACCACACAAATGAATGAACACTCCAGTCGTTCTCATGCAATCTTTACAATTACCATATGTCAGCAAAGGGACAAAAACAGCAGTGCTGCTGAAAGTACTACTGCAAGATCCATTCAGATGATCACATCAAAATTTCATTTTGTGGACTTGGCAGGCTCAGAAAGAGTGACAAAAACTGGAAACACCGGAGAGAGATTTAAAGAGTCAATCCAGATAAACAGTGGTTTGCTTGCCCTGGGTAATGTAATAAGTGCATTGGCTGATCCCAAGAGAAAAAATGCACATGTACCTTACAGAGATGCTAAGATTACTCGCATTCTTAAAGACTCCTTAGGCGGAAATGCCAAAACGGTCATGATTACATGCATTAGTCCTTCTACATCAGACTTTGATGAGTCTTTAAATTCTCTTAAGTATGCCAATCGAGCTAGAAATATAAAAAACAAACCAATAGTAAATTATAACCCAGACTGGGACCGAATGGATGAAATGGAACTGGAAATAAAGGCACTTAGGGAAGCTTTGCAGAACCAGCAGAGCAGCAGGGTAAGTCGAATAAGCCAAGTATCTCAAGACTGGGGCCAAGAAAAGAGCAAGATTCGAGCTCTAGAAGAGCAACTTGCACAATTTCAACTGGAGTGTTACAACCACAGACACTGTACAGAGGAAGCGTTCTCTTTATTCCATGAACTTAAGGTCATGTCTGGTCTTGCGAAATCCCAAAAGAATCGACTGGAGAGCTGGTTATGTATGGCAGAGGAGATAAGAAGCGAGACAGCTTCTATTCCTGGAACTGATGATGCAATTAGCAGTGGCAGAGAGGAACCACATCATATCACCATACTGCAGCTCAAAAGGGAGCTAAAGAAATGCCAGGTATAAACTTTTTTTTTTGTTTTTTTTTTCTTTACAGTTTTGAAACAGAATTTATTTAAGCC